AAGTGTAGCCTTAAAAATCTTCACCACGTCCTTTTGCTAATTATTGTTGCAGTGGCACTGAGCCCTCCTAGACACCTAAGTTTCTCTGAGATCGGCCATGGGGCTGTCAAGGTCAGCTGGGACGCGGCTTCGCGTGCTGTGAGAGCTCACCGTGTGACCTACATCTCAAGCAGAGGGAGCAATGCCGGGGAGGCAAGTCCTTGCTTAGGGACGCAGGAATGTGCGAAAACCGGGAGAACGGCGATGGAGTGCGAATGCGCTGTTAACTCCAGTGACTTGGCTGTGGAGTGACTCCTGATGTAACCGAGAACAGACTGTAGCCCTGTAGGACTTGATTTGTCAGTTGGTTTATACCTGTGCAAGGGTGTGACCCCTGCATTGCCAGAAGACAGGGTAATAGGGAAACAGCCCTGCCCTAGCTGTAGTGCTGTCCTATCTATCCTTTGAGCACAGCGGGAAAATACGGGCAGGCACTTCCATAGGCCTTCCTGAATTTCCTCACATGGTCCAAACCCTTCATATGGAGTCACGCATCCTATGTGTGGCTTTAATTAAACCCTCCCCATCTTTCCTTTTGCCGAAGAGGCACCATCACCGTGTGCTGTCAAGAACTCCGCTCTCTCCTGACAGCGGCTGCTCACATGCCTGCAGCATTTTAACAATGTGGGTGCCTCAACACGGGAGGGTTTTGGGGCAACTATCCTGAATTCCAAGCCCCTCTTTGCCCTTGCTCTGTGCTACAATCCTGACCCTGGTGTTTCTGTTTCACTGCAGGTCGAAGTTCCCAGCAGTGCATCATCCACTGTGCTGAGACCTCTGTCCTCTCTCACCCAGTACTTCATTAGTGTCAGCTCCATTTATAGTGAAGGCGAATCCTTTCCGCTTACAGGCAATGTTACCACATGTAAGTAGGGTTGAGGCAGAGTATGAGGGTCAGCAGGAGTTTGGTTCAAGGTCCATTATAAAGTTAGGTGCCTAGCTGCCAGACAGCCAAAAGTTTAGTTCTGACCCAGACACCAAAGTTCAGGGATGTTCACAGCTCGGGTTTTCTGGTTCAAACAAATTTTAGACCTCAGAGCAAATCGAGACTAAAATTTTTTGAGTTCTGCCAGGTTTCTACCTGAAGACTTAAATCCCCCCTCAGTATCTCTCTCTCTGCCCATGTCAGGGCAGGTTTTTTCCTCCCAAATTTGGCCAAAATTCAGCCTAGTGTGGCCAAAAGTCTCATTGGCACTGAACCTGGTTCTTACTGGGTTGAAAACCCTCATTGAATAGCTTGCTTTAATAGGGTCCTTCTAAATAGGACACGTTATTGCCAGTCACTCATTCTGCTGGGAGATCTTTACCAGGCTACCGGAATTTCCAAATGTTTGGTAGCCTTGAAATGAACTTTTGTAACCATTGGATGTCGTGCAATAACCATCTGAATGATCCATAGATTTGAGAAAATGACACTTAACTGTGATTCTCCATTGGGAGCATTGCCCTCAGTAAAGTCTGTTGGTCAAATCCTGCCTTTATTTATAGATGCAATGACTTGGAGACAGAAGGGGCCATTCTGACCAGCTCTTCTGGCCTTCTGCATAGCAGGGGACACAGAATTTCACGCTGTAATACTTGCACCGAGCCTACTGGTTTGGATTTGACCTAGACCAGCTCATTTAGAAAGACAGTCTTTAAGTTAGCTCTGCTTGAATAACAGATGTTTTGGTGCATTGGTGATTCCGAGGAGAAAAAATCATTTTGGGTCAAGCAAAAAAGTTCTGTTCAACCCCAAGCAAAACCATTTCATTTACATTTCAAGCTTTTGACATTTTTGATTTTTTTAAAAATAAAAATGAGGGAAATTTCTACACAAAAAGCTGTTTTGAACAGAAAAATGGAAACATTTCGACAATATTGAAACATGGTTCAGCTTTTTCAGAATGTTTTGTTGGGGAGGGAAGGGGTTGACGTGAACTCCTCTGGGATGGCCCCTCAAGGAGACCTGGTGAGAGATGCTGGCTGACAGCTCTTAAACAAGGCTGGAGAATGATGGTGTTTGTGTCTGTCTGTCTCTCCTGAGGATTATGTAATCAGCAGAAACTATTAATTTTCCAGTAGCAGAGGCGAGCCAGTACTTGATGCTGTTTTGTTATGATGGGCGAGCTCTGGGAGGTCTCCTGTTTGCAGTAGCAGAGTCCTCATCCATTTACGTCCGCCTCCAGCTCCTGGCCACTCGTTACGCTGCTGGGCCTCGCCAGCACTTCCAGACCTGGGTGCAGCTCTGTGCAGTGGGCAGGCAGTACTCTGCTCTCTCCTGGGCTCTGTTCAGTGTAGTCAGGGGATGGCTAATGGGATGGAGCCTTTGACCTCCAGGTCACTGCAGAGCTTTGTAACAGCTCCAGAAAGATTTGGCATAGGCTCCCAGCAGCACTTTCCCCTCCTCCCACTTCCCTGGTGGTGGGAGGGGGCCCGGGGGCACCCCCAGTTTGCATCATTGAGAGCTGCATTAAGTTCCATAGAGGGCGGCACCTTATTTGTATAGGAAAACTCTGCAAGTGAAGCAGATAAATACAGTCGTCCCTTTTCTGCTGGGGAAATAACAACACCGGAATTAATAAATAACCCTGTCATTCAAATGGTTTGTGTCTTCTCCCTCTCCTTTGGTCTCTTACAATCCCCACCTCTTCCATCCCAAACAGTCCTTTCTCATGTTATGCCTCTGCCTTTCAATCATTTTGTATCTCCTTTAATTGATTGCTCTTGTCCCATTGTCTTTCCCTTTCTCTGGCCCTTTTTTCCTCTGTATGCTCTGTTCCCTTTCCCTCCATCCCATTCCTCTAGCTGCCCCCATCCACCTGGGGGTCTCTCCCTCAGTAACTTTCCTGGTTCCTCCCATATCCATTTCATTTTGTCCCTCCCTAAATCATTGACCTTCCTCCTCTAGCACTTCCACCTGTTTCTGATTTCAGTTCTCACACCATCACTAGCTGCTTTATCCTGTTTTTTGCTGCATATGTGAGAGCCCGGAATCTTTTAGCTGGCCTGCTGTTCCTTCCCTCTAGTGGACGTCTCTCTCTGTTACCAGAGTGGGACAGCAAATTGAAAAAGGCAATAGAAAATATTTTTTAAGGAAAGCTGAAATGCAGAAGAAGTCTCACAATTTTAGGGGAAAAACAGACACACAGAAGCCTGCCTTCATTCTTATTATACGGGACCCAATGGATCACAGCTAGGTCTGAGTAAATAATTTGCAAGAATTAAGTTATTCAGATAATTCCTCCTGCTTTCCCATTTGTGAATCATCCACAAACAGACTGTGAAATTCTGACATTCCAGCAGTCAGCCCCTATGCCCCTTTCCTGGGTTCTTGCAGGCTTTGCTAGTCGCAGCTTTGGGACTGGGTAGGAATTTTTCCCCATATCACCAGCGTGGCTGAGGCTGGTGGGGTTTTTCGCCTTCCTCGCAGTGAAACCTAGGGGCTGGGTTTTGGGCTGGAATTCTCCCCCTCCCAGAGGGCACAGCTGGGACCTATGGGAGAGTCATTTAGTTATTGCAACTTCTGGCAGGGGCCCAGTGCAGGAACTTGCTGATTTAGGCTCCAGATCCAAAGAGGTAACACAGTGGGCATCCCAAGAGCATCTTCTTATGAAATGGGGGCATCATGTCTAACCCCTTGGGAACAAATGTGACACAGGACACTAGCCCAGGGGGACCACCCCACCAGTGCACTTTACGGCAGTGCTGGCTGGGAGGTCGAAGTCCTCTCTCACTTCAACCCCGGAAAGGGGGAGGGATGCGGGTGCAGGCGCGCAGGGAACCTCCTCGTGTGATAACTGACTACCCCCACGGTGGGAGCACCCCAAGAATTGGCGAAGGATCAAGGGGTTGTCAAGTGTCTGCACTGGGCTGTCCCTCGACAGGAACCTTGGATGTAATTTCACTAATAAACTTGCAGCCTGGTTAAAACCCTTCCCACGTGCAGTGAGCACACCAAACTGGGTGGGTATCTCTGCATTCAGGCTTAAAATGTGCATGTGCTAGAATATTCGCAGAGAGCGAACCCAATGGAGGGGGTGTAAAAGCCATCAGGGCAAAACTCAAACAAACCTTTGCAGGATTTGTTTTTGTGTCCAGCTGTACTATATGCCAAGATGGGTCTGCTGCACTGTATGCTTGTCTGTACCGTGCCTGGCCCAAGCCGCCGCTGGGAGTCCTGTGAACTCTTAGGAGCTCGAAAGTTTAAACAAATTCATCCAAAGTTATAAAAGTAAGGAAGACACCCAAAAAGACTCTCTTGCCTCTCCAGGATTTTAGCACTTGGCATAACACTAACCTCTTTGTCCTTGAAAGCCATTCCCAGCATCTTCCTGCTCCCAGCACCAGCACTGCACATGTCCTCTCGCAAATACGATAATTATCTGTAATTAGTGTTTACAAATATTTTATCCATGTCCCTCATGATGAGCTGTTGTCATTTGGGGTCTGAAGAAGTGAAAGGCAGGCTGGTGAGAGACAGCTGCCAGTGGATACCTTTCTCCCTGACCATCTGTTCTGTACCTTGGCTCTGTACCACCAGCTCCTCAACCTTGTTTTCTTTGTGTCTTTCAGTAAAGGTTCCACCACCAGGTGACCTGAAGGTGACTGAACTCTCAGGAAACAATGTCCGATTGCAGTGGGAAGCAGCCGCTGCCTCTGATGTCCTGGTTTATCAGATTAAATGGAATGCACTTGGAGAAGAGAGCTCCCAGGAGGTATGGTACAATATAGGCTTGGGGAGCATGAGGTGGTGTCCTGGATTTACAGGATCTGTGCTATGCCCTGGCCTTTAAGTGGTCTTCAGTGTGCCAGTCCTCCAAGGGGTCACACTAATACAAGGAAAGGAGTACTTGTGGCACCTTAGAGACTAACCAATTTATTTGAGCATGAGCTTTCGTGAGCTACAGCTCACTTCATCGGATGCATACCGTGGAAACTGCAGCAGACTTTATATACACACAGAGAATATGAAACAATACCTCCTCCCACCCCACTGTCCTGCTGGTAATAGCTTATCTAAAGTGATCATCAGGTTGGGCCATTTCCAGCACAAATCCAGGTTTTCTCACCCTCCACCCCCCCACACAAATTCACTCTCCTGCTGGTGATAGCCCATCCAAAGTGACAACTCTTTACACAATGTGCATGATAATCAAGTTGGGCCATTTCCTGCACAAATCCAGGTTCTCTCAACTCCCAAACCTGGATTTGTGCTGGAAATGGCCCAACCTGATGATCACTTTAGATAAGCTATTACCAGCAGGACAGTGGGGTGGGAGGAGGTATTGTTTCATATTCTCTGTGTATATATAAAGTCTGCTGCAGTTTCCACGGTATGCATCCGATGAAGTGAGCTGTAGCTCACGAAAGCTCATGCTCAAATAAATTGGTTAGTCTCTAAGGTGCCACAAGTACTCCTTTTCTTTTTGCAAATACAGACTAACACGGCTGTTACTCTGAAACTAATACAAGGGTAGACCATGGGGCCTCAATGTCCCCTCGGCTGAGCCTTGGGCTCCAGCACTCCTGTTTCCTCATTGTGAGCCCTGCCCATTGAGGCAGACTCCTGCTCAGACTCATACTTCCTTCGGGAGTCAATGCACTTCAGCAAGTATCTGCAGTGACTCCATGCACCTTTTCAAAACAGAGAAGGGTTTATTAGTCAGCTGGAATATAGCATTAGGAAAGTGCTTAGGTTAGCATAAATAAGGCAAGGTTAAGACATAGTCCATACTGGGTAAAGCCAGGGCTCCCATGAGTCATGCTGCTATAGGGATCATCTTAATTTCCTTTCTCTGTCACCTCCGCCAATTGTCCACCTGCTGCAAAGCCATGCTGAGTTCACATGTTCAGCCCGCTGGTATCCTCCCATTGGTAAGTGTCAATAGTTAGCTCTCTGGGGTTCCCATTGTCTCTTTAGGGTCTTCCATTGATATAGTCCTTAATGACCTTAATGACCCATTCATAGCCTCCCAGAAGCTACGTGATGAAACACCTCATGTCTCCTGCTTTACCCTGAGTGCAGCAATTTAACCTTTCTACGCCCACTGGGCAGCAATACCAGAGTGATAGGTACAGGGTCATACAGGTAGTTCATAAAAATATTGCAGACAATTCCCACTTCATCACAGACGGTGTGAGGCCTGTTTAAGGGCTGCTGGGCATGTATATATCACGTGCCCTGCCAACGGCTACATGGATACTAATGTGTGGTCTATAAAGTGTAGTCCTGAGTGGGGAAGTGACTGTGGACACATGCAAGGTAACTGGAGCTTTTTGAATGAGTATCCTAAGACTTGGTATTAAAGTAACTATTAACTGTCATCAACATATCCAGACTGCATGGGCATCTACAGAACACTAACTAGGGCCAAATTTTGCCCTAGTTCATCTACACTTATGAAAGCCTTGAGGATAGGATTTGGTCCCAGAGTCCTGTGCCAGCATGTAGGTACCCCCTATCTTCTCCACATGCAAAATGATGGGTCAGATCCTCAGCTGGTGTGAATTACCGTTGCTCCATTGACTGCAATTAAATTATATCAGTGTGCAGTACCTCAGGACGTGTGTACTTCCTCTTCTCTACCCACCACCAGCTTAAATCTCCGGAGATCTTGAGCTCCTATTGTGCAATGTTCATTTAAAGTAAAAATAGGGCCTGGAGGGGAGATGGGGTAGAGTTCTGATGACCTCTAATTCCTCATGCGTGGCCATACAACTTTTCACAAAGCATCCTGCAGGTTACAAAAGCAGCATCACAAAGCTGGTAACTGGGGTCAGGGGACAGTTGGGAGAGCGTCTACCTAACCCTCCCTTCTGTTTACTGGTCAACAACTTACCTGTGGCTGGGCTTTTGCAAGAACATCAGAAACAAGGGTCCTGATGATAGTCACCCTGGTTGGGCCATCATTTCTTTATAACTCTGCAAACACTGGGTGTCCTTATGCGAAGAGCATTCAGATCATTCTATCTGAGGTGATCAGTCCTTTTGTAGGAAGAGATTGTTAAAGAACAGTGCCTCTTGTTATGAAAGGATTTGATACTTTAAGATGCCATACTCAACCAGGTAGTTGCGGCTGCATGGGAACTCCACTTACGTTCGTTTCTCCTCCACGCTACAGCTGTCTGTTGCTGGGAACCTGGCTGCTGCCAGCTTACCAGGATTGAAAAAGAACACAGAATACCAGATATCGATCTGGGCATATTACAAGGATGGAGCTCGAAGTGACACTGTCTCTATTCTGCACAGAACTAGTAAGTGACCAACGTGCAAACTCTAGGGCTTCGGGGAAGGGAAGTCTCCGGACTAGTCACAGACCAATAACTCAGGTTTGACCAACAGGTCGTCCCAGGCCTAAACATCTAAAAGTGACTTGAGAGGCAAGGTGGGTGAGGTATTATCTTTTATGGGACCAACTAAGTGATTGGTGATTTTGGGTGACCAACCCGAGTGACCTTATAGGGTCTTGAGCACCTGCCCTCTGAAAGCCAGTCCTCTATTAAGGTGTTTCAGGTGGGTTAGCCAGAAATGGAGGCTGCCAATATCACTAGTTGCCCTGGGGAAATTAGGTCCCAGCGCATGTATCTTTGTGGAGCTGTTTTGGGGGGGGGGGGCAGGCAGGGTGCATGTGAAGACTTATCAGTTACAGGCGCGTGCTCCCCTTTCCCGCCTGCAAAACTGTGAGATGGCACCTTGGTCAATAACAAAACTCTATTTACCGTCAGTGGAGGCAGGGTTGCACCCTAGAACTTCTTTTGGTGACTGCTTGCCTGTGCATCTCCAATGCCTCTTGGTGAATTGATGGAAGGCTAAAATGATCTACTTTTAGGAAGTATTTTGACCAGTGAAGAAATGCATTATAACCACATGTAAAATGGCCTTCTTATTAGACACAGCTGTAGATGAACCCACTGAGTGACAGTTCCTTGGTGATCAGGGCTCTGTCTTTTAAAAGTCTCATGGAAAAATCATCATAACCTAGGACATCTGTCTCAACATAGTCTTCCGTGTAGATCCATAGGAGTGCCCTTTAGCTGGGTGCGCTCTGTGCCACACGAGGCATTGTATGTTCCAGGAATGTACCACTGCATACAAAGTCGGCATTTGCTTCTTAACTTCAAGTGAAATGTATTGGGTGAGTCCCTAGTGCTACAGACAGTGTGCTGGATGGCTGATGTGTTATAGATTTGCAGTCTGCTCAAGAAAGCAGGCTGGTGTTATAAGCCAATAGTTTTCGATACCCTTGAAATGTAGTTTCCCTTTTCCCCATAAGAGGATACAGAAATATTGGAGTGGATTGCATGGACTTTCTGTAGGCTGTTTAATTCACTGTCTAGATGTTGCCTAATGAATGTTACTTGTTTATAACATGCTGTCTATTAAGGAAGGTGAGGAATCATTTGGAGTCCTAATTGCTGAGTCATTCTTCATTGGGGGCCCTTACAAAAATGCGAGCGAACCTTGCAGTCCGACTCTGCTCTGAGGGAAAGTCTGAATCTTGCTTGGTGCTGACAGAATGAAGTTAAAAAGTGGCCTCCCCAAAGGTCCTCTTAATGAATACGCCCTGTCTAATGGCTTTGCAGCCCGTGAATGGAACACGAGTCATTTAATATCTGTGATCTGCTCCTTCTCCTCTTAGTTCCCAACAGTCTTTGCAGAATAAACTCGTTCTGTCTGGTTTTGTGTTTTCTGAGCTGGTGAAGCTCAGAGTAAATTGCTGTCTTGGAATCCAAAGCCCTGCTTTTATTAATAATGAATAATAATAATGTATCCTTGTGTAAAGCTACCTCAGGCGAGCCTCCGAGTGCTGTAAAACACAAAGGTGAATTGATGCAACAGACTCACTGTGCATCATACTATTGTACAGGACAGAGGGATAATTGCAGCTACTTAGAGGTTTCAGTAAACAAACAGGTAGGTTTCAAGGTGTGAATTCCACAATGTCAAACCTGAGCAGTGAGCTCAGACCAGATCCACATCACGCAACTCACTGCAAATGGCACTGGTTGGTGCCGTGCTTGGCATACTCAGAAGACAGGCCAAGGACAGAACTGACCCTCAGGTGTGTATGTCCCATTCTTTGCTAGTGCTGGAATAAGTCTGAGACACACCGGTGGGACAGTGAAGGGGGTGCAGCTTGCACAACTGCTGCCCATGACATATCTTTCCTGTGAGTGAATAGGGGATTTCATGTGTCATGGATATCAATCTTTCACTGCCACTTAATTCATGCAAAGGGCCAGATGCTCAACAAGTTAGGCCAGCAGTTACAGTGCCAGAATGCATGCTTAATTTCCATGTGCAATTACTCAGTTTGCACGTGCAATCAGAATAAGTGCGTACGTAAACTGGGACTGGATTTTGGGTGCACAACTGGATGCCTAACGTGTTTGAAAATCTGACTTCTCAATTTAAAAGAGAAAATGCCAGTGAGGAAAAGTGAAGTAAGAGAAGGAGGTGGTTTCAAAGAGAGTGTGCAGCTCCCGGGGAGCTCCGAGAGGGGCTGTGGTCCCAGTAGCTTGAAAAAGGCTAAGACGGCAGGTGTCCTGGTAGAGAGGGGAGGGGCTGGGCAAGATTATGGGAAAGACTCACACTCTGTTTTGTGGCCAAATTCAAATGAGCATCCCTGAGAAAATCATTCAGCTTAATTGTATGATTCCTCCCCACTCTGACATTCTTAAAGCCAAGTGTTTGCGACAGGCCACTTGCTGGAGGATTCTCTGTTCCTTGAAGTCTTTAAACCACGATTTGAGGACTTCAATAGCTCAGACATAGGTGAGGTTTTTCGCAGGAGTGGGTGGGTGAGAGTCTGTGGCCTGCGTTGTGCAGGAGGTCAGACTAGATGATCATAATGATCCCTTCTGACCTTAGTATCTATGAAATACCAATGATGTGTCAAAAAGAAAAGGAGGACTTGTGGCACCTTAGAGACTAACCAATTTATTTGAGCATAAGCTTTGATGTGTCAAAAATCTTCCAAGCCCTCCTCCGAGTGAAAGGCTTATCTTCCATTGTAGCCAGCAGGCGCACACATGCTGTGTTGAGAGAGAGCCTGGGTGCAGAGCGGGGTGCATATGTGGGGTG